TTCTTATTTTCCAGGTGATTACACACTAATGAAAAACATACCTATGAAATATTATATTTTCATTTCTGCCAATAGATGCTCCTAAATGATAAATGATACACACTGGACCTTTAAAAGCATATAGCAGCTTACAACTACATTATTGTGTGTTATAACATTTATTATATGCTGCTATTAAAGAGAGGGCTTCAAATAATGTGTTACCAGAAAAGGTAAGAAACAGACTGTATGTAGACAGTGACACTTGTTATTCAGGGCAAGTACAATACAGTAGGAAAAGGAAATAAGAAAAGCATCAAAGGGAAATTCACATTACAGCAGAGGTAAGAAGAGAAAAGTAATAAAAACAACTGTCGGAATGAACTAAATAACAAATAAATAAAAAAGATAATCAGATGAGTTCCACCACCCATCAAATCCCAAATATATTCTTACTAATAGATTATAAACTATTGATTCTATAAAAGATCAAATGTTACATTTTAAAATATTCATCAGATTAGCTAACTATTTAACTGTTTATCCAGTACTCTTAGCTAATGCTTACCATTTAAACTTTTTATGTCACTTTTTGCTAACTATTCATTTCTGTTAGGTAACCATTTCAACTGCTTATTCAGTATTTCTAGCTGTTTATTTATCACTTTTAGCTAGTGTAAACTATTTCAACTGTTTATCCTTTACCTTTAGTCAACATTAACTATAAGTGTATAGTATTATACATACATACAGTAAATATAATAATAGTATTCAATTGTGACTTACAAGTAGCCATTATGATCTTATAACAATAACTTATTCATGTTATAGCCACAGCACTTAAATCTCTAACAGTACGAAATTCATTCAAATGATGTTAGTTACTTCACCTGTTTGATGGACCAAATCTGGACTGAATCCCTGCAACAATCAACAATAAAAAGAAAATATCAGACAACAAATATATATATATATATAAATAAATAACAATTAGTAAATGTACCTTGTTTTCCAGACATCATCTCAACTTGCAGCAGCAGCAGCAGGCTGGATGTGTCGGCTTGCTGCCTGTTGGTGGTGTCACACTAATCTCCTGCTGTTGCTATGGAGCCAGGAGCCCTTAGCAACCAACTCCGCACCTGAGGACTCCTTGAAACTGGAGTCTGCACACTCAACCCATCCATTTTGCCGTCTCAAGATTTCCATGGCAGGATGTTAAACAGAAAGTGATACTTCGAGGTCAGTGTTGAGGGTGGCTGCTGCAGTATTTCTGGAGAGTCGCTGTGTGTTTGGATCAGATTCCATATATAATAGTGCTTTGACGGCCTGACAACAGAGTAAATGTCAGGACCTATGTTAGGACGAGGCTTTCTCCTCACGTGGTTAGTCCATCTGCATTCATGGATAAGCTTTTATTATTAGTTTAATAAACCATAAATATGAGTTTAATTGTCACAATTACAATGAAGTCACAACAATCAATTTAGTGGAAACCATTTATTTAAGTGCTGTATATAAGACTTATCAAACTGGGTAGAATCTTTTCACACAATACTGTATCTTGGACATGTATTGGTATTGAAAAAAAGTGTAACATTTTTTTTTTTAATGTGCTCTTTGAAACCTTTACATTCATCAAAAATGGTATACATGAAGGCTTTGCACACATCAACAACAACATAGTTCACCTTCATCCCACAGTTACCAGACTAACAGATTTGAACAAATAAAACAGTATTAAGACAACATAAAGAGCCCACAGCTGTGCGCAGACATCTCTCTGAAGAGTAAAAACAAAAGACATCCAGTAAATCATCTGGTTTCTATTCCCTTTTTTAAGATAAAGTAAATTCCTTTTTCAAGATAAAGACTTATCAAAGTAGGTAACAGTGAACTTTTAAAGCTGTAATCCAAAAATGACACTCCTGCAGTAACAAAGGTATTTGGTAGTGTTATAGTTTGGTGCTATGCCTGATCATTCAATAATAACATGACAACAGCTACGAACAGCCTTCAATCTCCGCTCTAATATTTAGACATTAAATAGTTGTGGGGTCCTGCTGAAATTAGGCTTTTATTTGTTATCAGTTTAAATAGTAACGGCACATCAGAAAGCTTGTCAGCAAGCTCTGCAATTTAAAGTCTTCTTCTACTTAAAGCTTTTATAGTCAAGTTTGCCTGTTGTCGCCCCAAATGGCAGAAAGAGGTCATTGTTTGAAAATCTTTTACAGTTTTTAATATGCAAAAATCACGTACCATCACTGACCTGAATACAGCAGAATCTCTTCAGGTTTTGTGTTTTGCTTTGAAATTTTGGGACACAAAGTGGACAAACGGTAAGTAAACATAACAAATCTCTATCAATGGGCGATGGGAGCCTCACTTTGTACTCTACGTTGATATGATGGCTTTATTTTCTTGTGAAAATCTTGCCCAGTAGAACTTTTAATCTTTATGAGGTATTAAATATTGTGTGGATCACGACACACGAGGAACATTATGATACAGTCCAAATTAGAAAAATAAATTGTGTGACGCTAACAGCCTGTTAGCTCATCGCTGGTGATGAAGCTGCAGCTTCACAGATGGTCTGAATCAATCTACAGCCTGAAATAAATCCACTGTGATTCAGTACCGTCTGACAATCTGCATGAACACCTGAAGGCAGCACCTGAACTGCTTCTACAGCTGACCGTGTATCATCATCTACAAACGTTGGGAGGAACAAGCACCCACGAGCAGTCTTGTAAAGTAAAACATTTATGGCTCTATTGATGAAACCTCTCACCCGCTTGTGTGAAAAGAAAAGAAGTCTTTGGTGACGATAACATTTTAACACAAGTTGGTATGAGTTTCCTGTAGGCACCCATCTTCAATAAACATTAAGACCTGGTCAACGGTGAAACAAGGAAATATTTTTTTCTACAGTTTCACATCCAGAATCTAGGAGTTTTATAACCCCAGCTAAACAAACCAAAACAAGAAAAATAATCTAATTTTCTCATAAAAGAGTTTGAGCCAACCTGGTGTAGTGAAAACAGCTAAGTGAAAAGGTGCAGAGAACCTATTCCATCAAAAACACAGGATTAACTGGCAGAGACCAGAGTCTTTTATATATCAGAAACCATCTGGATGATCAGGTTCCGAGCATCCATAACGCCTGAGCTGAGCTCTGCCTCTCCCTTCTTCACGTGGGTGCCAATGAGGAACAACCTGCGGTCGCCGACCTCGGACAGTGACAGAGCTTCGTGGAGGTCCGTAATGCCGCAGGCTCCTGGAAGGTCCTGGAAACATAAGCCAAGCATGAGGAGACATCGGGGTGGAGATGAATCTCGAAGAATTGAATCATCCCCTTACTTCAGTGCCAAAATACACCACAGGCCGTGTGTGAGGTGACAAACTGAAAATCCTCCTCCTGTGTAGACACACTGTTACTCCTTGTATTAAAGCTGCAGTGGGTACATTTTATATTTTCATATTTTCTGAAACTCTCACTATAACCTGACAGTCGTACATGAGACAGACTCTGGCTCTCCTACTCGCTCCCTAATGACATTTACAAGAATCATAATCAAATTCTTTCTGGCTCTGATTGGTTGCTTTTCGTCCCAGCACTGCCGGTGGTTCTTTGTAAATATACATTAGGCAGCCAGTAGGCGAAGGAGCCCAGAGGAACCTTTCGTCTCATGTACGACTGTCAGGATGTAATTAGAATCAAATATGACAAAAAAGATTACCCACTGCAGCTTTAAACACATGTCATTAGTTTTTTAGTGATAATAATAATATTAATTATAACACTAGAGCTAAAACTATTTATCCAATGACAGAACATTAATCAGCAACTATTGTTGGTAATTAACTAATCATTACAAGTCATTCTTTAATGCAAAGACTCCACTGGCCACAGCTTCTGTTCCTGGTTTTTCTTCCTTTTCTAAAATAACCAACTAAAAATAAAACTTGGTTATGGAGTTTTGATATGACCCTGTACCCTGAAAAACGGTGACTGGTGTTTTTCCCTATTTTCTGACACTTACACATTAATTGAGAAAGTAATCTGCATATTAATCAATAATGAAATTGTTAGTTTCTGCCCCCGTGGACACAAACTGAAGCTGCTTTAAAAGTCTCTAATTATAAACTGCGCGAGGTTCCTCGAGGACAAGTGGCCGACAGGCTTTTGTTGAAAAGAGTCTGGAGTGTTTTTCTGTCACGCTCACCTGTTTGTTGGCCAGTACCATTAAAGGCAGGCGGGGGTCAGAGGCCAGCAGCTCATGTAGAAGTGTCTTGGCGAGGGGGAAGAGCTGTGCGCCGGAAGAGTCGACCACAAACACCAGCATAAGAGCCTTGGACATGTACCTCTTCCAGTATGGCCGCAGCTCCTCTTTACCTCCAACTGACAGACAGACAGACAGACAGTGAGTCCAGCTCTGTGATCAGGTTCAGATGTGAATAGGAGTTCAGACTTACTTTCCAGGAACTCGATGTGCAGGTCGCCTTTGTTGATGGAGACGGCGTTGAAGCCCTGCGTCGGCTGTATGTCCTGCTCCAGGCTGCCGCTGGCCAAACAGTGCAGCAGGCTGGTCTTACCGGCTCCATCCAGACCCAGAACCAGCACCTGTGTCCCCGCTGATTTCAGGGGTTGGGACTGCAGCACACACACACACACACACACACACACAGACCAGTACACATCAGATAACGGCTGGACACCAGCTGGTAGATATTCATATATGACGTTCTATACTGATACCATTCATTCCATACCTAACGCTGAGGAATGTGGACATGTTTTATTTATTTTTAGAAAAATAAATAAAAACTGCTCAAACCTGATTGTTTGATTTTCTGATTTTGTTATATGAATGTAAATTACTGCAAAACTTCAATTAACAGCCGTGGCTTTACGGTAAATGTCACTGGGTTAAACCAGACACTTGAAGACGTCACCTTGGAAACTGTAATCGGAATTGTTAACAATTTTCTGACATTTGATGGACCAACAATTAATCAATTCATTAAGAAAAGTCCCAGCAGGTTAATCGATAATGACAATGGTGATTATTAGTTGTAGTTAACCGTTAGTCGTTATATTTAAATCTGCCTATTATCATTTTATTTTTATAAAATGTAAAAAAAGGTAAAAATGTCCATCAGAGTTTTCCTGGGCCAAAATAATCAATTTACTGTCATAGAAAACCAATATTCACATTTGAGAGGCTGGAAATGATGACTCTGTTGCAGATGATTTTCCTGTCTTTCTACTAAATAATGAATCGCCTCACTTATAATCTAGATATAAAAGCTATAATCTATCTCTTCAGTCAGTGAGGTCCTACATTTCCCAGAATTCCCCACAGCTCCCCAAAGAGAACTTGCCTACACTTGTTGCTCTTTCATACAAACAGACATTGAGCTGGTTGTGTGAGCGGGTTATAAACTCCGGACAAGGAGAAAGTGATGCAAACATAAATCATAAATCATCTTCTATGGCCGCTGTATTCTGCTCTATGTCGGCTGTTAACGCTACATGTGTGAGTGTCTTCTTCTACGTGTGTTTTAGGAGTACACACACACACACACAC